AATTATTTTTTTTCTTTTTAGATAGTAATTTTTGTAATTAAGTTATCAAATTTCACTTCGTATTTATATAAGGTCCTTCCATCACTCTATTTTTAAAAAAATTAAATAAAACTTGAAATAAGAAATACCAAAGTAAAATTTGAGTGATAATTGAAAGATTAAAAGCTTATTTGATAATTCATTTCAATACTTAGAATTGAATTAATTAAGTAAAATAAAATAAGTTGGTTTGGTAATCAAAACTTATAATCTAATAAGTTTTTCTTAATGAAGAAAAGTTAAATAGCTACTAACTTAGTTTGTTGAATGTATGAGATATTATTATTATTATTATTTGTAAAATATTTTTGTCATTAAATATTTTCATGATATGACAAATCTCAGCCACCTCCGTCACAACTACAACCACCACCCTTCAACCACCAAAGCACCATCACCTCTTTACCACTGGCACCACCGCTACCACTTATACCACCATCCTACCATTTTCACCCAACACCACCATTGTCTCTACCACCCCTTAGCCACTACCACCATCACCACCTCCTTACCACCACCACTACCACTCTTCTATTGCCAAAGCACGACCACCCCTTCTCCACGACCTCTCCACCTTCTCTACAATATCCCACTATTATCCCTATATCCCAACCAATCTCTCATTTTCCGTTACCGATATTGCAATACCACCACCACTACGTCACCACCAAAATATATAAATTAAAAAATTACCAATAACAAATTTTAGATTTTAGATTTTAGATTTTTGTACTGAATCATTTATTTTAATCCAACACTTAAATTTTTACCAAATAATATTTTAACTTCAAAAATTCAACATTTTAGTTTTTAAAATTTAATTTTTCAGTTTTCAATTTTTAATTTTATCAAACAACACCTAAAAGTGTAATTTATTTTATATTTCTCTTGTAAGGACCCCTAGGTGACAAGAGACTCATATTAAAACACAAGTTGTTGTTTGAAGACTTATTCTAATTCCAAAAAAAAAATGTTAGAGGTTCCAAAAATTCTATCAAAAGTTTTACCAAATGTCTCACATAGGTGTGGGACCCATATGAGACCCACATTGTGTGGGTCCCACACCCATGTGAGACATTGGTGAAACTTTTGGTAGAATATTTGGGATCTTTAGCATTACTCATTGCAAAATAAGGAACCATAATATAATTCTTATAAAAGTTAAATGGTAAAAAGCATACTTTACTTTCTTTGTTTTTGTTTCCCTAATGCACTATTGATGTTTGTCTGGGGATAGTGTTTTAAATTAACTGAACTGTTTATGAGAATTTTAGGCTTGTTTAATAAATGAGCCAAATTCGAGTTTATTATTTATCTAAATAATAGGATTAATATATTATTTATATATTAAATAGCGTAAATGTATATAAATAATAAGATAATTATACTAGCCACTTGTGATGTATGTTATTGGTCCAAACCTTATATTAAATAATATAAATATATTACCTATATAGTTAAATAATAGAAGGAAAAAATTTATTTTGAGATTTTAGTTGAGCTCGAGCTTGATTAATTATCGAGCTGGATTTTCGAGCTTGATAAACAAATGAGTTGAGTTCAAATCTTGAAAAACTTGACTCGGTTCGATTCGTTTGTAATCCTATCTAAGTATTTGATAGGGGTTTAAGAGTTAAGGTTTAGAGAATGCATTTGTATTGGTAGACTAATAGGCTCCGTCTGGTGGAGCTTTCAAAATATAATTCCACACTCACTTTTGAGTGTGGTGTTTGCTTAGCAATTTCAAAAATTAATTCCATACTCACTTTTGAAAACTCTTTTCAAGGCTGAAAAATTTGGGCTAACCGGTCGTCCTCTCGGACGCCCGGCCGGTTGATCGAAGCAGTGTTATTTTATTTTTTATTTTTTGTAATTGGCACATGTTATTTTTTATATTTTAAATAAAAAAAAATCTAATTTTTTTTAAAAAAATTATGGTTTTTGAATAGAATTTTGAGTTGTGTGTTTGGTTATGAATTGTAACTTTTTGTATCAAATATCATATGTCACATCAAAATTCCCCCACTCAATTCAAAACTCTTTTCAAAACTCATTCAGCAAACAAATTTTGCACACTCAAATCATAATTTCAAAACTCACAAACTCAAAATACAACTCAAATTCTCAAATCATATTTAGAAAACTCTACGAAACGCTACCATAGTTTTTTGTTCGTGATTTGGGTTACTAGTACCAGTAGTGGGTGTTCATGGGTCGAGTCGGTTTGGGTTTACCCTTGACTTGTCAAGCAACTGGCCATCTTTGGGTTGACTATATGCTCAGCCAATGTCATCTCAATGTTCACTTCGAAACTATCTGCTCAAGCCATTTGATTGACATCAGTTTCACAACTAGCCTTCACTCATTTCCTTTACCAATTTATCAATCTTGTTTACCAAAGCAAAAATGGGTATACCTCAGAAATCATAGAAAACAATATTTTGAAAGGAATTAGAAATTAAAGAATATAATATGTGAAAGACAACCTGAAAAATATCTAAAAAGAGAGCATATCAACATCATCATCATTATCTATTGTTCAAAAAATTCTTTCGCACCATCGCTCATCCTCATGGTCTTCCACACCGTTAACATCATCCTCCTCAAAGATTTTTATGCAATATGTAGTCCATCCACCATGTCTGAAGTTGGCAATCCACAGAGAGGGCTTGAAGGAGATCAACAAAGAGAGAGGCAAGGAAAGGAAATCAAGGTGGTGATGTTTAGGGAATGAGGTAAGCAATAGAAGGGAAGATGAGGGATTTAGAGCATCTCCAACCCAATCCTCTCACCAAGAGGATGAAAATAAATTTTTTATTCAAAAAGTAAATATAGAGCATGTCACTATTCATTCAAACTCCAACCACAAACCTTCATTTTCTTCTCTAAATATTTCCCTCCAAAATTAACCATCAATTTTCCCTCCATTAATTTTCCCTCCATCTATTATTTTATAAAAAAACCAAACCCTCATACAACAAAGGAAATGACTACAGAGTTTCTGAAGAAGAAATGGATGTAAAGCATGCTAATGAAGAAATGAATGTAGAGCATAATTATGAAGAAGAAAAGGATGCTGAGTATATTCATGAAGAAATGGATGCAGAACATTTTTATTTACCACAATTCCCTGATTATGAAGAAGAAATGGCAGTATGGGAAGCGAAAGAAGATATATTACTTTATTTATATGCCTTCAACAACATCATCATAGCTCAATATCTTGAAGAAAATGACCAATTGGTACGTAAAGGTTCAGTTCATGGACATATAGTGAGAGATTGTAAAAGGGAAGAAAGTCATGCTCAATTGTGAAATGACTACTTCTCAGAGAACCCCACCTACAAGGAAAATTTATTTCGCAAAAGATTTTGAATACATAGAAGTTTATATTTACAGATTATTGATGCCGTGAAAGCATACGATGATTTCTTTGTGCAGAAAAAGGATGGTCTTGGTAGACTTAGATTGTCTACTTTGCAAAAAGTAACAAGTGCATTTCGAATGTTGGCATATGGAACGTCGGCTGATTCTACGGATGAATATATACGAATTGGTAAGTCTACTGCCATTCTATGTATTAAAAAGTTTTGTCAGGCAATTGTTGAGATATTTGGGGAAAAAAATACCTTAGATCACCTAATTCCAGTGACATTGCAAGTTTGTTAAAAAAAAGGCGAAGAATGGGGCTTTCCAGGGATGCTTGGGAGCCTTGATTGCATGCATTGGTCTTGGAAAAATTGCCCAATAGCTTGGGCAGGACAATACTCAGGATGTGGTGGATCCCCAACTATCATTCTTGAGGCAGTGACATCTCATGACCTATGGATTTGGCATGCATATTTTGGCTTACCGGGCTCTAGTAACGACATCAATGTCTTGCAATCATCTAATTTGTTTGCGAATCTCACCCAAGGTATATGTCTTCTTGCTCATTATACCATCCATGGCATAGAGTTTAATGTTGGCTATTATCTAGCAGATGGTATTTATCTGAAGTGGTCAACTCTCGTACAAAGTATTTCTAAACCCCAGGATCCGAAGAAACAACACTTTGCAATGATGCAAGAAGCATGTTGAAAAGACTTTGAACGAGCATTCAGAGTACTTCAATCACGATGTGCTATAGTCAAGGGACCAGCTCGTTTTTGAATAAGTGTGTTACATGATATCATGTATGCATGCATCATAATGCCTAACATGATTGTAGAGAATGAGCGTAGTGTTATTAATTCTGCTACTCCAGCTCTTATCCCCAATATTGAGATGGTTATAGATGAAACAGAACAATTTTCAACAGTTTCTTACCCGACATAAAAAAATAAAAGACAATGAGGCACACCGTGTTCTAAGAAATGCATTAGTTGAACATTTGTGGCAAAGACATGGTAATGGCCCCATTTAGAAGACATGGTTATTGATGTAATGCTCCATTTATTGTTTTTGCACTAGGAGCTATTTGAGTTTACATGTGCTGGAGCTTTGTTTTTTATTCAAGGCACTGTTCTCTCATTTTCCTAACATGTAGCAATAGCTACAATTCTTTGTATTGCTTTTAATTTTGTCTTTAGCGATGGGATGTAGATTGGAAGATACTAGGATAGGTTAGGTTGGTAATCATTGAAGTAGTAGCCTGTGCCAATTTGAAGTAATGATAGTTATATTTATAAAATATGTTCTGACTAAACAAAGTACAAAAACATAGTAGTGAATTTCCCAGCACTAGTAATCTGGTAAGACATCACCACCTTGATATTGGCTAAAGCTACTAAAATTACCATGGCTAAAAGAAACAGAGTTCTTGGCTACTTGATCATTTTGTTCTAAAATTTCTAATTTTAATACTCACGATCAATTGGGTCTGCAATGCATTTCAAGTCTATCTCCATGATTTCTTTCTCTTGATGTTCATGCTGAAGTTTTAATCTTTTACTTTCATTTTCAACTTGTAACATCATGAGTTAGAAACGCGCTGCAGAATCATTTTCCATTTTAGCAAATCGTTCTTCTCTTTGCTTTTGCCCTCTTTTCAAATTCACCATGATTTCTTGGTTTCTTTCAACAATGGATTCAAGGAGATGACTCTTATCAACTATTTGCATCTTTCTCAACTTCTCTTTCTTCCTCCCTATAGGACGACCCGATGAATCGACATGATGGTCGACCTCTGCTATAGTCTCTTCATTTGCATCCAAATCAATGAATGGTGGTGCTACTAGGGATGTAGATGCAAGGGATCCATTTTGAAATCCTTCCAAATAATCATACCCTTGTTTGGGATTTTCTTTGGGGGTATTGTCAAGCCATTTCTCAGCCCCTTTAAGAATGGGCCATACATGATTATATTGTAATCCTTTCCTCTCTTCTAGGTCTTGTGCAAATAAGATTTTGTTCTGACCCATCTGCAAAATGAGAATTAAAAAAAAAATAAAAAGAAAAAAAATATTTATAGTAGTAACAACATTTTGTAAGATATAGATAGTATGAACATGCTCATATTTTGTAACAACTTTTGTTAGATAAAATTAACTTATACATATAATACATGACAAAATTGTGTAAGAAGTCTTACAAAATCTATCTCAGGAGCACCACTGGGATTAAGGCGTTCAACTGATCGAACACATCCCCGGAACTTGTTAATGGCCTTCATTATTAAAGCCATGCGACATTGGAGGATTTTGTTGTTAGAAAGCCAATGTTGTAGCTTGGCAAGAGCTCATGATACTCGGCACTAATACGCTCCCATAACTTCTTCTTTTTTTGATTAATACCCCTTACCGGATTTTGAGAAATTTCAAGTCATGCATTACATAGATTTTTATCCTCTTCCATTAAGAATGCTCGACCAGGTTGAACTAACTTTCCACCCAATTCCACACTTGAAGAAATTTCTATAGAAAGTTTATATGGAAAGATGATTATGGCTTTGATAGGAAAAGAATTGTGATTTTAGAAAAGAAAGATATCTGTATATATAGACTATTTCTCACTACAACAAAAAAGGTCTATGGTGACGAAAACGCGTGACGAAAAAATATTTAGTCTCCAAATATGCATGTTTTAGTGATGAAAATAAGATTTCACCTCCAATTATATTATTTTCATAGACGAAAACCAAATTTCGTCACCAAATGCTTAAAATCAAATAAAACAATAGGTGACGAAAATTTTATTCGTCTCTAAATTTTATTTTTCATCACAAAACAATTTCCTGCCCTTGGAAAATTTGGTGGCACATCTATCTATCTAG